CCCCAAAACCCCAAAACCCCAAAACCCCAAAACCCCATTAGTAGTTTTATTATAAAATATACTGGTAATTGAAATAAATTTGAATTTAAATTTAAAAATGAGTTAAAATCCTTTAGATATGAGCTATAGTGAGCATTTGCCTAAGATTTTTCCAAATCTTTCAAATATCAAAATATGCTGCCTTATAAAGAAGCCTAGGTAAAATGAACTGCTTATGAGCTCTACTCAGAACAAAGCAGAGCTTAATTAACTCTCCAACAGTAGTACTCGTAAAATCCAGAATCAATTGAAATCACCCAAGAATCAATCATATAAGTAATTCTCGCAGAGTAAAAGCAAAAGTCGGTCTGGCTCATTAAGTGCCTAGAATAGAAGTCTTTCAACTTCTAAGCGAGATAATGGATCCACAATATAAACCCCAAAGCGAAGTACAAGCTAAAGTAGAAAACATTAATCATCTTTGTTAGATAATTTTGAATACTCTATTTTCACTCCAGTAGAAGAGTCGCCTTATGTGATCTCATCAGAAGAGTGCCCAGTTAAAGGGAAGCTAATTAATTCCTTTTTGGTATCTTAGAATGAAATTCCTAAATTTACAAATGAAAATATCACTCATGGAAATAAAGCACAGCTATTTATATTTGATAAAGTTATTAACGAGTCTAATTGCAATTAAAGTTTGTATTCTAAACTAATTAGGAATGAGGTACATAACTTAGCGAAATCTTAAGTCAATTAAAATATAAATCCTAATAACTTTTGCTGTATTTTGTTTGGGCCTACTGATTAAAATGAAAAGTCGTCCAAGCTATCCCAACTTTTAACAACAAAATCTGATGGAACTAATAGTAATATTGCTCTTAAATCAGTTTATGATATTCTGACTATTAAAGAGACAAAGCTAAAAGAAATCAATTCAAGGCTTGGAGTACAGATCATGTAAATCTATTGCAACGATATCTTTGATCTTTTAATCGCTGATTCATAGAAGCAAAGTAACAAAGCTATCTTAAAAGAAGTGAGTAATGAGAATAGCTCTAATGCTAAGTCATTTAGCATTTAATCTACGATTAAATCAATTAGGAATGTGCAGGACTTCTGCTAGATTCTTAGAGTAGCTCAGTAAAATCGTAGTGCAGTTGCTTAGTAGTTAAAAATTGAGTCTAGCACAATGAAGAACACCGCACATCTTATAATTAGAATAATAAATGGGACTTAGCTTTATGATTTTGTAGAGTTATGTGGTTCTGAACTTGCTGCTTCAACTGTTTAAACTCATCTAGTGGGTAAATAGGTAGAAATTTTAAGGAAGTTCGCAACTTCTTCTTTCAATTCTATGTCGATGCTTCTTACTAAATAAAATCCCTAAATGAAAGATCATCACACAGCTCTCTCTCAAATCCTTTAAAGCAATCTCTGTGAATCCAGAACTAAAGTTATTCTCTGTTGCTAAGTGAGTCCAGCTTAGTATCTATTTAGGCATTCAATCACAGCAATTAAATTTTCCTCTAAAATCAGAGAGGTAATTGTCAAAAAGCATCTTAAGGAGAGCAAAAATATGATTAATATCTCTAATGAACTGCATGACATGAGTTAAAGAATACTCGATGATCCTCATATCTCTTCTAATAAAGACTTAATCTGCCAATTCAACAGTCTGAGAGAGAAGTATGAGGAGATAATGAGCTAGTCTAAGTCTTTTGGAGCGATTTTAAAGGATTAGGAGAAGTATCAATAACTTGAGCGAATCAGGAATGAGTTTAACACTCTTAAGGATGAATTTAATGTGTTTGAAATGAATCATTTGAGTGAGAGTAATATTCATGAGAATGAGAACCAGTAGAAACAGTAGAGTGAATAATAGTTTATCTATGATAGTTTTAATCAGGTACAAAGAATTGACTCTTCCAATGTTAGCAAGAGAGAAGACTCCACTATGAAAAAGCCGAGACTATAAAGCAAACCTTTAAAAGATAAAAGATTATAAAAAGGAAATCGAAAAAGCAGGTAAAGCAACAATGTTAGTCTTAACAAAAACAGTGATAGTTTCACTAATAACAGCATTACATATTAGATTACTCCTACTCCAGATTTTAAAAATCATAGATTTATTGAAGATAGTGTGTCTCTCAAAGATACTGGAGATATGCATTTCAATTAACATAGTAACATTTTGATTGACAGTAATTCCCCTAGCTTAGACAGGGACTACCAATGTATGAAGAATGAATTCAATGCTGAGAGGGAAATTGAAGAAACCAGTAGTATTAATATTGATAATGAAGATTTCAGTTTGAATATAACAGTGTCTGAAAATACCAATAATGTAGCTAACCACACCTAAAACCATTCGTATAACATCACTCATTCCTCGTCATAGAATAGATTGACTTAAGAGAGCCAAAAGCTACTGGAGAAATACAGAGAGGCTAAAAGGAGCAAGTAAGAGAGAGAAAATTCTAAAAATCATAGCTACTAAAATAATTAGTAATCTACTTAGTTCAAAAGAGAGAAAAAGGAAACGCCTACGAGTTCTAACTTTGAAATAAAATCTGATATGACTTATAAAATGAGTGGAACTTAGGCAACATATATTGATTATATGGCTACAGACGATATGCAAATTGGAAAACTCTAGTTAGAAATTCAGCTACTTTAAAACTAGCTTAAAGATAAGACAATAGAGACTGACACTTTACAGAGAGCTCTTCATAATGCTAAATAAGAGTAATCAACTCCTTACCTTAATAAAAAATATAAAAACCTTGACTTAGCTTAAGAGTTGGATGATAACTCCAATTTCGTTAGGTAAATTGAAGAACTTGAAGGCAAACTTGATCTTAAAAATGAGCAGATAGCTACAATGCTAAGAAATAAATAATAAGACCAGAAAGAGCTGAATGAAATCAGATTTAAACTAGATAGAGAAGCTTAGCATTCATAAAAAGTAACAGCTGAGAATGAATCTTTAAGAGCAAGAATAGAATAGATGTAAAAGAGATTCATTGACTAGGAAAGAGTAATTGAAACTTAAAAGATTGAGATTAAAAATCTAACCTAACAGAATGATAAAGAAGGGAAACTTAAGTTGATGATTGATCATAAGACAGATAATAGTAGACAAGAGAGAGCAAATCAGACACAAATCGATGAGATGAAATCTGAAATGTATGACATGAAGCTAGAACTTGAAACTCTCAAAAGATAAAAGAATATCCTTTAAAATCAATAAGATGACACTAAAACTGAATCTTAGCAGTTATTTAACTTAGTTAAGGCCAAAGATTAAAAGATTGAAGAATTAGAGGAGACTATTACATAGATGAAAGCAAGTGAATACGACAAAGTAAACATGATTCAAAAATAGTCAGAATTCGATATCAAGATTTTGAACATATAACATTAGCTTTAACAAGCTCACAAGGATAAGAAGAAAGCAGAAGATGATCTATTTGTCGCAAGAGACAAGCTAAGAGAGATACTTGGAGAAAAAATATCATTAGAAAACTAATTAAATCACATTGAAAGAGTTGAGGGTTCTAGAATAAATGAGCTCGAAAGTAGATATGAGTAGTTGAGCAGAGAATACTAGCACACTTTGGAGGTGAACAAACAGCTATCCGGTAAAGATATCGAGCAAAGAAGAGAGATATAAGGGTTATAAAATGGCAGAGATAGCTTCAAAGAATAGTTCCTAGAACTTAAGCAATTCAACAAGGATCTAAAGAACAGATTTATAGAAATAGAGAGATAGGTCAGCGAGTTGATTGCAGAGGATAAGAAAAAGGACAATTACGAGAAAGAAAATCATAAAAATGAAAATAAAAAGAAAGAGGGGATACTCCAAGATATACAAGGTCTAATAAAAGATTATAAGAAAAATGCCAGAGATAAAAAGACCAGATATGCTTTCAATCCCATTATAGATTCAACCAATGACACTAATAGTTTCTTATGAGTGTATTATGGATAAGAATGAGTAAAAAATTTGAGTTATAAATTCATCAGAAAAGATAAATGATTTTTAATGAGTTTGATCACTATAATTATAATAAAACAAATTAATTAAAATATGCTTATTGATAACACCAGCCAAAATACCAGAGCCACATTAGGATCTGTGAATACAGATGAGCCTTTTGTTTTCGAACCACCTAAGCACATTCATTATCAGCCTTTGAGAATTGGAACTGTGGGAAGGAAAACCAAGCTTGAAGAGATATTAGATAATATTAAATTATCGTTTGAGCAATATATCTGGTACACTGATGTATCAAAGGTAATGTATCCGATTAAATCTTTTTCTATATCATTCGTAATAGATATCAGTAAAAACAAATAAAGAAAAGTAGTATCAGCTTGTTCTAGCTACTAGTTGCTTTATTACATTTAACAAGGATAAAGGAACTAGAAAGAGCTATTCATATTAAGATGTAAAACTCATTTCAATTTTCTAATGATAAATCAGGTGGAATCATTGAGACCTATGGATAGCAAACAGTTTTGTTTCAAGCTCAAGTTCTACAAGAAGGATGGCAATTTCAAGATACCTTAAAAGGAATTCGACTTTACTTGCAAGGATAGCGAGGCATTCTTCACAGTTTAGCATGTGATTTAAAGATAGATGCCGTTGAACTGGCAATAATTCTTCGAGAAAAATATTGATATCTAAGCCAATGATTGCTATCAATTTCACGCTTACTTGCTTAAAACTAACAGATTCGGTTCAGCTCAGCCCAGATTCATCATGCTTACTTCTTTTTGGATGATCAATGCTAAAGCATCTTTTGATAAGACAAATGGAGAAGTTAAATTCGAAAAAATGAAATGGAAGATTCCAATTGAAGCAGTGATTAGAGTGCAAATTAAGGAGAGTCAGTAGAAATACAATGTGAAGATATACAGTGAATTTGAAAGATAAAACAAAGTGCTTGTGGAAAATAATCTTAAAAAGATCAAGAAAACTGAAAGGGATTTCACCTTTAATGATATCACCACTTGCAGAGATTTCATTTTCCATCTCAAGAGAATCTATCATTTGCATAACTGCTGTGGAGTTGATAACAAGACTCCTCCACTTCTAGTTGAAATAAAGTGAGGGAAATACCTGGATACTAGCACAAGAATGAAGAAAGATTAACTTGATTAAGTGCTTTTGATTATATTAAAAGTATTTTCATTTTGATATTTCTAGAATAAAAGTATTCATGGGGTTTTGGGGTTTTGGGG